TGTGGACTGTTGTTTATTGCGACGTATGTGGACTGTTGTTTGTTGCGATGTGTGTGGACTGTTGTTTGTTGCGATGTGTGTGGACTGTTGTTTATTGCGATTTATGTGCACTGTTGTTTATTGCGATGTGTGTGCACTGTTGTTTATTGTGATGTGTGTGCACTGTTGTTTATTGTGATGTGTGTGCACTGTTTTATATTGCGATGTGGGTGCACTGTTGTTTGTTGCGATGTGTGTGCACTGTTGTTTATTGTGATGTGTGTGCACTGTTGTTTATTGCGATGTGTGTGCACTGTTGTTTATTGCGATGAAGTGCCTCGAGCAACGGAATAGCCCTCCACAAACGCCAATCTTCAGAAAGACTCCAGGACATCGATACACACATTACCATACATGGGTACACATCTACCAACATACATACATCTCCACCTACCTATTAAATCCTTGTTAGCTACAAACTCCCACACGGTGTGGCGGTAGTAGTCTAAGCCGCGCACAAGCTTAGTATTCACGGCATAAGGGATCTTCAAAGCATCAAGCCCAGCACATACCTATAGCAAACGAAGGACAGGAGTCAACATACCTACAAAAACGTAAACGTAGGATATGAATGGACGTACTCTCTTTAACATATTTGAGAGGAGGATTGATCGTTATGTGAATTAGCTGCCGCTTTAACATAGCAACAGTCTCAATAAGGAAGGTGCTGAAAACCGCGTACCTACAGAGAAGCAAACGAAGGCGTCCTTTGACTTTCATTGATGCAATAGGCGCGTATACGTCACGTGTAGTTTTGTCACGTCAAGGATGGGTCTCACACGTCACGTGTGGGACTCATACATCACGTGTGGATCTCATACGTCACGGATGGGTCTCATAAATCACGTGTGGGACTCATACGCCACGTGTGGATCTCATACGTCACGTGTGGCTCATACGCCACGTGTGGCTCATACGCCACGTGTGGGTCTCATACGTCACGTGTGGGTCTCCACTGAACCGTTAGAATGACACCACACAGCCAACTGAGACTAACAAGCGCTAACTGTTAAAAAGTGCGGAGAAGTAGAGACGACACTCGCCTATATACACCACATGACAGACCTCGCGACAGGACACGAGAGACCGTCCATGGGCCATTGCATGCATGTGTACTTCCAGCCGTAGAGTATATTGTAGGGTTTAGGGTGACCTCGGAAGAGTAGCTACAACGCTACAACCACACAACAGTAATGGCTAAGAGCACAAAAGGGTAAAGGGAGTCCTGTACACACACACATTCAGCGAAGACGCCACGGCTAAGTGTAGCCAAAGTCTACCACAACCTGACGAAAAAGGAATGCACACCTGATATATATATATACACACACACACACACACACCTGTGTGAAGTGGTCATGGCTACTTTTTTGTGGCACAGGACAGCAGTGTGGGTGCCTGATCCAACAGGTATTGGTCAGTTCTATCCTTAGAGTCAAGGATGCGCAGATAATGCCCTGCAGCCATCCTGCCATGTCAACAACCAAAGGGGAGGGGGACGAGGGTTAACAAGAGACAAAGCAGAGGATGGTGAACAAGAGACAAAGGAAAGGATGGTTAACAAATACACATCTATTCGAACATGCACACACACAAGTACATACACATCCTTTTCTGTACACATCTACGACATCACTACTCCTTCACAGGTGCATGTGTCTTATGTCCAAAATATTTAACAGGTGCATATGTGTCTTCTTGCCTCATATACAACAGGTGCATATGCGTCTTCCGTCCTTAATATAAAACAGGTGCATATGTGTCTTCTGTCCTTAATATATAACATGTGCTTGTGTGGCTTCTGTCCTGAATATATAACAGGTGCATATGTGTCTTCTGTCCTTAATATATAACAGGTGCATATGTGTCTTCTGTCCTTAATATATAACATATGCATATGTGTCTTCTGTCCTTAATATATAACAGGTGGATATGTGGCTTCTGTCCTTAATATATAACAGGTGGATATGTGTCTTCTGTCCTTAATATATAACAGGTGCATATGTGGCTTCTGTCCTTAATATATAACAGGTGCATATGTGGCTTCTGTCCTTAATATGCAACAGGTGCATATGTGTCTTCTGTCCTTAATATATAACAGATGCATATGTGTCTTCTGTCCTTAATTTATAACAGGTGCATATGTGTCTTCTGTCCTTAATAAATTAACAGGTGTATATGTATTGCTGTCCTTATTCTGTAACAGGTGCATAGGCACGCACCATTCTGCAGATATTCTCGCATGCAGGTTAAGTCGTGTGTGATTAAACGAGATAGTAGTCAACCACAAAGTGTCGTATATATTCTAAACCCCTAAACCTTAGAACTGTACGTCCACGACACACACCCTTCCACTAGCACACGCCATTCTACAAACACTTCGTAGGTCTCAGAGACTCATTCCTGTGCATACAACCCCAATACCAACAGACGAGTACAACACTATCACCAGCAACACCACAAACACAGCACACAAGAACAGGTCCATAAAGCCATACACAACACACACACACACCACAATACCAACAGATGAGTGCAACACCACAAACACAGCACACAAGAACAGGTCCATAAAGCCATACACAACACACATACACATCACAATACCAACAGACGAGTGCAACCCTATCACCAGCAACACCACAAACACAGCACACAAGAACAAGTCCATATAGCCATACACCACAAACACACACATCCCAATACCAACAGACGAGTACAACACTATCACCAGCAACACCACAAACACAGCACACAAGAACAGGTCCATAAAGCCATACACAACACACACACACACCACAATACCAACAGACGAGTGCAACACTATCACCAGCAACACCACCAACACAGCAAACAAGAACAGACCCATAAAGCCATACACAGCACACACACACACCCCAATACCAAAAGACGAGTGCAACACTATCACCAGCAACACCCCAAACACAGCACACACCTCAGGCGCGCACACACACACACCCAATACCAAAGACGAGTGCAACACTATCACCAGCAACACCCCAAACACAGCACACACCTCAGGCGCGCACACACACACACCTCTTCTGACTCTCCTCGCACAGGTTGTGTGCACGTGGCTGTAGATAGTCTCTGAGTGCGTCGTTGTACGCCTGCCGTGCCTGTTCGGTACCCATGGTGTGTACCTGCAGCGTCACACTGTCTTGCAGCGACAGCTGTTGAATGATCGCCCACCCCATCGCAATGGCCTCGACATCGGCCAGCGCATGGTCTTCGCCCAGAAACTCAACGCCAATTTGGGTGAACTGAGTGTGTGGGGGTTTGGGGTTTGGGAGGTAGGTGTAACGGTGGTATACAGGAGTAGGTGGGAGTAGCGACGGCATACAAGTGGAGGTAGCTGTGGCTGGGTAGGTGTTTTGATGGGATTTAGATAGTAAGGTGTAGTGCTGTAAGCACATTGATGTATTGCAGATTGCGTATGATCCTGGGCAGCTGTCGTCGTATACTTGGATCATCGGACTGAGTGGTCTATTGGTGTTGTCGAGTGCCAGACAGACGACGGCTATGCAACTGGATGTGCGCAACATACCGAAACATCTGCGGATGACATGTGCAGTCATACATAGTCACTCAGTACATATACGAATACATCCACAAGAATGTCACACGCACTCATACATACTCTCTCGTCCGACATCTCTATCTGCTACACAGACTGTCATTTTAGAAGTACCACACTACCAACTACACTCGTTAACTACACCTACACCACAAACCTCTCATCCCATACCTGTCTATGCCTTCCCTTCTGAGGCTTCTCCCGCCTGAACATAGGGCCGTCGTAAAAGTACCTCAGTGGCAGTGGGAGATGATTGTGGCCTTGGATAAACGCACGCACTGTCCCCGCTGTGCCTTCTGGGCGCAGACACAACGACGCCTGTTTCTCGCCATTCCGCCCTTCATCCATCCACGTGAACATTTCTTTCTGTGTGTTGGATTGTGCACGTGTGATATGGGTATGTATGTGTGATATATGTATATTAGTGTGCATGTATCC